GCTACTAAGCGCATGTTGGCTAGCAAATTCGATATGAAAGACTTAGGAGTTGCTGATGTGATCTTAGGAATCAGAATTCACAAGACTCCACAAGGTCTAGCATTATCACAGTCTCACTACATTGAAAAGGTACTTGACAAGTTCAAGTATTTGGATTTCAAAATTGCCAAGACTCTAATTGACGTGAGTTATGCACTTCAAAAGAATGGAGATGAAAGTGACTCACAACTGGATTATGCAAGAGTATTGGGAAGTTTGATATATATCATGAATTGTACGCGACCAGATATAGCATGTGCTATTAGTAAACTGAGTCGGTTTACAAGTAATCCCAATCACATACATTGGATGGCAATGAAACGAGTTTCTGGGTATCTCAAACATACCCAAAATTACACTTTGCATTATAACAAATATCCCTCCGTGATCGAGGGATATAGTGATGCAAATTGGATCACTGGATCATCTGAAGTTAAATCCACAAGTGGATATGTTTTTACAAATGGGGGTAGAGCAGTGTCGTGGAAATCATCCAAACAAACATGCATTGCCCGTTCTACAATGGAATCTGAATTCATAACTTTAGATAAGGCCGGTGAAGAAGCTGAATGGCTCCGAAATTTCTTGGAAGATATTCTATTTTGGCACAAACCTTTGGCACCTATTTGTATACATTGTGATAGTCAAGCGGTAATAGACAGGGCAATGAACGTTATATATAACGAAAAATCTCGTCATATACGACGGAGACACAATACCGTTAGACAACTACTCTCTAGTGGTGTTATCACATTTGACTACGTAAAGTCAAGAGATAACGTGTCGGATCCACTTACAAAAGGCCTATCTAGAGAGGCAGTTGAAAGATCATCAAAGGGAATGGGGTTAAGGTCTAGGACAAGTCATCATGACGGTAACTCTACCTAGCAGACTGGAGATCCCACGAGCTAGGTTCAAAGAGATCAAACAAAGTTATGAATGACGGTTCAACATTGTCAAATAACTCAACCCATTCTCGTGATGAAGACAATGTTCAGAAATCGAGGTAAAGCATTAAGGCTTTTTGATGAGTCAACAAAGCTTAAAGGTTTTTTAATGATTTGCTAAGTCTGGCAGGATATGACCAGATAGTGTGTCTATAGGATTACACGTTTAGAAATCACCTATGTGAGTGTGAAGTGTAAGCCGCTTCAAGGGGAATGAAAGTAAATGCCCATTCTCTAACTACTCATGAAACCAGGCGGTCTTCATGGCTGAAACGAACACAATCGTGAGAACCATAGATGGTTAAGGATTGATTGTGTGACTTATGTTGTCTAGGTATATAACAAAACTCGACGGTTCAAAGATATCAAATCTACCGATTGACCGAGTATATCCGATATAAGTTCACTACGAAAAGTTCAAAGGGAAACATACTTATCCAGATGCAATTAATTCTTGCATGTAAAACACACACGCGTCCGTGCATTCCTTTATTTTATAGCCATTCTCCATTCATGTGGGGGATTGTTGGGATTTTAAGCTTGTGTAGCTTAAAGAGGGTGAATGAGAAATAAAGGGAAAATGAAATATTTGAGTTTTCCTCCTTGGCAAAGGGACATTGTCCCATATTGGAGGAAGAAAAGGCTTTTGATGGGTATATATATATAATTGCTCTTCTTCTAGCTCTTAAAGAGTTAAGAAGAAGGCAAGCCTCGCGCCGTCGTCGTCGTCGCTCGGCTTCGGCTTTGGTCAAAGATTGATTGATTAATCTTTTTGGATTTATAATTGTTTATTACATCAATCCAGATTTATAACATTAATAATGAAAATAAATATTATATTTAAAGTAACAATATATTATAATACAACACGTAACAATCATCCAAGCAAGCTGTAAAAGCATCATATACCTTCTTGTAGTTTTATAATGACAAAGTTCTCAAGTAATATTCTTTTAACAGGAGCATATATGTTAAATTCCTCTTCCATTCCCCTTCTTAATTATTTATATGAATTATGATGTTCATAAATAATTTTAATTATAAAAATAATACTAATATTTATAAATGATTGTATTTAGAGGCGGAGCCAGGATTTTAAGTTTATGGGTTCGAGATTCTAGTTTTTTTAAGTTACTGGGTTCTATAATAATAATTTATACATATTTCATGAATTTTTCAAGACAAATACAGAGTCTGCACAAAAGCTACTGGGTTCGGCCGAACCCGTAAGTAGAAGGCTAGCTCCGCCCCTGATTGTATTTAGAGGCAAAATGTTATTTATTATTAGAGACGTGGGTATTATATACGTCATTTCACCCTCATTCCTATTTAATTGTTGCTCAAATCGTATTAAGATTCTGGTTCTCGTGGTATTTAATGAAGTATATTATATCGGCAATTAGCTGAATATGCAAGCTTTTGGGACATTCACTGACCAATCAAATGGTGAAAGCGTCAAACCAGAGACTATACAAATTCAATGATTTAAGCAGTGAGATTTTGAAATTAAATTTGTACGCGGGTTAAACTTATTGTATCCAGCAAGTCAAATATTTTCTTGCATAGGGATACAACTTACATACAAGACTATTGACCCGGATTTTATTATCAACTTTTTAAATTAAAATAGTTAGGTAAGCTAAGAGTACTAATGTGGTTGAAGAAAGGTCCAATATGGCCCCTTATTTTTTAAGATAGACTTAAAATGATCCCTTATATATTACTAATATAGAGTACTAATAATATACTATAAGAGACATTAGCTCGAACATCCTTGGAAACATTAGATTCATGTAAAGTAAGCAAAGCTGGAAAAGAGTTGACATACGAAGGTGGTGAAGCCGAAAATCTCCACAAGAGGATTCGAAAAAATGCACGAATGTCGCACCTAGGATTCAACATCGTGATCTAAGATAATTTGTGTACCCTCTTATTACTAACTTTAAAATTTTCTTAATTAATTCAAAAAACTATATGTATAAAAAGTTATTTTTATCCTATTTACACATTAAATATTTTTGCGAAGACAGATACAATTGAACCTCCTTCGCTGAACTTAGGTCCGCCACTGCATATGAATCAAGCTTCATGCGGTGCTATATTTCGGTCACTTTACCCTAATTGTAGTGCTTGTTTTTTGCCTAACACAACTCCACTTAGAACGGAAAAGTTAGACGTGAGTAGCTATGAGCTATGTTCAAACTTCAATATATTCATGCATGTTCCAATTTACCTGAGCATAAAATTACATCCACTTCAAATTCATTTTTTTCAATTAAAGCTTGCGGTTAGAACAGCTGCACAGGTACTCCACTTAGGGTTCGATTGGTAGGTGGGATAAGAGGTAATAATTCCGGGATTAGATGGACGATTATTTTATTTCGTGTTTGGTCGAAGTTTTGAATTCGGAATCAATAATCTCAGGATTAATTTATACCATATTATGGTATTATTTTATCCTACGTTGAGAGTGAAATAATAATCTCGAGATGATTTAGTCCCAAGATAAAATACTACAATGACAAAAGATGTCCTTTTTCAAGGCTTTTCCCCCGAAGTCTTTTACAAAAGTCAAGGTTAAAATTGCAAATAAAAGTTTAGCCTAGCCTATCTAGTATACACCAAATACATATTTTATATTATATCTCTTATATCTTATTTTTGGTCCTATGCACCAAACGTCCCACAATAAAAATATATCTACTAAATAATTCCACTAGTATTTAATCCCCGTATTATAATTTCGGAATAACTTGTTCCCTCCCATAAGAGGATGACCAGCTGTTAAGATATCAGGGTTTCCGCATGGAGGTACTCTAGTATGCCAAACTTAACGGACTATTAATGCTCCATTGAAAATATAAGGGATCATTTTAGGTCTACCCTCAAAGATAAGGGGTCATATTTGCCCTCAATGCAGTTCAATCCGTTTCCTCAAATCAAAGTGGTGACGCCAATATAAATAATGGTATCTGTAAATGTAAGTAGGTTTGTGTATTATCTGACTCCTTCTTTGACTTTGAGCTCCTGTATGATGTTTCTTTATGAGACATTTTCATAAAATACTGCTTCTTTTGATTGCTCCATTCTTTCTCGATCCCTGCATCTAATTGCTCGGGCCCTTTTGCTACCTTTTCATATGCATTACCTTTAAATATATATATATTTTTTTTTTTTTTTTTTTTTTTTTTTTACAGTATATGAGTTTTTGGATGAGCTTATTTTAAGTGACTTTTAAGTCAAAATAACTTTTAAGTAGGTAAAAATTTTAGCTTTTAACTTTTGACTTGTTTTTGTCATTTTAGCTTAAAACAAGTGCTTAAAAATACTTTTTACTCTATCCAAACACTACAAAATGACTTAAAAATTATTTTGGCTTAAAAGCACTTAAAATAAGTCAATCCAAGCGTGCGCTTAAAAGCACTTAAAATAAGCCAATCCAAACGTGCTCCCGTCATGCTTAATGCTTCCCCCCCCCCAAAAAAAAAAA